AAAAATAGATGCTTACAGTTATTATTGTTTTGATTCAGGTCAAATAAAATCAATACATTTTTATTAGAACTTTTTTGATAATTGCATATTTTGCTATGCTTGGGGGGGGGGGCACAACCTGAAGGTTTTCCTAGAGCACTAAATACCCTTGCATTGACCCTGGATTTACCTATCTAAACTAAAAGTTTCGATACTCGTGGTGGGCAGAGCACAGATAGACCATTGTGTAGCTTTGTGCTTAATTACAAATAAACAATAAACTAAACTAAAAGAGCTTAGGAAGGAGAAATATGGTATCTCTGGGTGCTACACGTTACCTGGATATCGCTGAAGGATACTTTACATAATTAATTTTAGTAAATAATAATAAGACTTTCATGTTTAAAAAACTTTAAATTTCAAAATCAATATATATAAATGTAATGTAATGTTTGTGCGTGTAGACTTGGATCAATCATGCACTGCACATGATGTTTATGATTGTATCTGAGGGTTCAAAGTGTTTATTATTTGTATAATAATTATATATCTACTTTTACCAAATTTGTACCGGGTTATTATTTCCTTTCTGAAATAAGATGAATTAAAATTACTGACTAGGACTATCAACTTTAATTTTGATATAAGTAAGGTTCCTGTTCCTTGGCAAATTAGAAACATTTAGCACATTCTGGGGTTTATATCTTCATTTTGTTTTAGCGCAAATCTACACAATAGGCTATCTGCGCTTTGGCCACCACACTGAATCGAGCCTTGGTTTTTAGCGTTGTAAGTTTGTAAACTTACCACTAAACTACTGGAGCACTTTTGAGTTTATAAGTGCCAGTTAGAAAATAAAAAATATCTGCTTTAAATACTTTCATTATGGAAAAATCTTTAATTTGACACGCTCATTTTGTAACTAAATAAACTATAAATATGTGTATTAGAAATAATTATATTTCGTTAATTGCGTGAATGATTTCAAAATAATACATATTTCCATTAGAGGGCTGATGTTATTTTAGTAGGTGGATTTTCATGGACGAGAGAAAGTAAAAATTTTATAGTTGTGCTATTAACAAATTATTTAACTAAATTTTTTGCTGACTCTTTCGAAAATGTTTTCTACAATCACCAAAAGTTTTATCATTGGAAGAAAATCAAGTCTACAATTTTATAAAATGAAAATAGCAAGAGCAGTTACAGAAGGTGGCATATATAGTATTAGTACTACTGGTAGTAGTACCATCTTAAAAAGAAACTTGAAGACGCTAACAAATAAAGAGCATACGAAAAGTGAAGACATCAAGTTTGAGTATCTTGCAGGTGAACGAGAAGGTGTTGCAGTAATTGCTATGAATCGCCCACAGGCCAAAAATGCAATTAGCTTGAATCTTGTTTCCATGTTTGAAGAAGCTCTACACACAGTTAAGTTTGATAAATCATTACGTGTTTTAATAATCCGCAGTTTAGTTCCTGGTGTATTTTGTGCAGGGGCTGATTTGAAAGAAAGAGCAAAAATGTCAGAATCCGAAGTTGGTCCATTTGTGGCAAGGCTTCGGGGAATGTCAATGGAAATTCATGACTTACCAGTACCAACTATTGCAGTTCTAGATGGTGCTGCTATGGGTGGGGGGCTTGAATTGGCCTTAGCATGTGACTTACGAGTGGCAGCTTCATCAGCTAAAATGGGGCTCGTTGAAACTAAACTTGCAATCATACCAGGAGCTGGTGGAACCCAGAGATTACCTCGTGTTGTGGGTCCATCTGTTGCAAAAGAACTCATTTTCACAGGAAGGATAATTGATGGAAATCAGGCTCACAATATTGGCTTGATAAATCATGTGGTGGAACAAAATCAAGCTGGTGATGCAGCATATCATAAAGCATTAGAGTTGGCTGAAGAAATAGTACCTCAAGGACCAGTAGCTCTCCGGATGGCCAAACTTGCCATCAATAAAGGCATAGAAGTTGATTTAAATAGTGGTTTGTCTTATGAACAGGCATTTTATGCCCAAGTGATTCCTACAAAAGATAGGATTGAAGGATTACAAGCATTCAGAGAGAAGAGACCACCCTGCTACAAGGGAGAATAACTTGTGTGAATATTGTATAAATATGTAAATTGTAATTCTTGTCTCTGAATTGTAATTTAGATTAGGCAAACAGTTTTATCAGGGGTTTATTTTTAGGATTATGGAGTGAAATAATTGCCAAATTCTGTTGTTGCAGTACTGATATAGGAGCAGTTTATTATCAAGGCCTTGCTTAACATTTAATTTATGAATACTAATTTTATAAAGTTTGGGAGAGCTCACAGATATATATATATATGAAAAAATATTTCATTGAATTTAACAAGCTCATAATAAGCTGATTTTTGTTTGTTTCCACATGGTACCAAATTTGGTGAAGTAATGCCTTGAACTTGAAGCATCCATAGAGAAGCCTCCTTTGGTCTTAATAATTTTTTAAAGGTTATAATCTTGCCATGGAGCTTCTGATTTAGTTTTACAAAAAAAAAAGGAGATTGCTATTGTTTATACAAAAAGTAGGCATTCAATATTAGATAGTTTATGTTTTGAAGTATTAACTTCCAAAGTTTGAGTTTTCTTTTTAATTACTATGTAGAGTAATTTTGTAAAAATCTCATCATTAGTAAGTATTAATTTGAGAAAAATCTAACAAGACTCCAATTTTTTCTGAAAATTTCACAAATATTTTAATAGTGTTGGAAACAAACTAAAATATTACAAAACAAAATTTGAAAGACAAGATCCAAACTCATTCTTAAGTGAAATTATTTTCTTAGATAGAATTATAAACTTGTGAATAGAGCTGGGTAATTAATGGAATTTGTAGAGTGATTAATCATCAAGCTCATCTGTTGGTTACATTCAACTAATTGATTATTCTCACATGAAACTTGGTTAGTTGGAATAACTGAAAATTGTAATGATTAGAAACTAAATTTGATTAGTTGGTTATTTTTATAAATAGTGACACTAAAGTAACACTGATTGAGCTGAACAACCTTGAATTAACCCAAAGTAGTAATTAAAAATTAGAATGACAATATTTGATTATTTGGATAATTAGAAGAACAAAAAACTGAAATAATTGTAAATACCAATTTCCATTAGTTGATTATTTTAGATGACACTGATCAATGTAATTGATGCTCTTAGGTAATAGAGTTAACTGCCTAGCTCTATTGAAATGATGTCTTGTTATAGTGTATTATTTGAATTTTAAAATCTTATTGGATAAATATATGAACAAGATGACTGAGTTAGGTTTGGTGTCTTGAACATAGAAAATAAGGGTAGGTGACAGAATCAAGGTCATCTAAAGGATCCATACAAAGTTATCTGACTAAAAGAATTTCAAACCGTCAACATATGCCACATGATTTGGCAAACCTTTCCACAAGTTAATTAATACCTAACAGGGGAAAACTTCTGCCTAATAACCAGCATGGACTTGGGTTTCCATAGCTTCCATTTTTTTCTTCTGATATTCATAATTTCATCAACACTACTCCAACAAACTTCCCAGGGCAGTTTATCCAAGCTCTTAATGCTTTTAAAAAACTGAATCAGACTGCTTTTACTTCTACAGTCCAGAGAAAATAAGTCTTTTACTCTCTATTCACAATGTAAATGTTTCAAATCAATAACCATTTTGGCAACCCATCAGAATTATTTTTTTCAAATAAATTAATGTCTTCTGTAATAAGAGAACCAAAATTAAACAATTGTACTCCACCTGGGGCTTTTATCAATATTTTGTATAATAACCTCCCTATTCCTGAATGCAAGACTTTTGTAAATAGATCCTGTAAAACTATGTGCTTTTTTCCTAGCAAATTTTAATTATCCACCCCAGGGTCAGGTTATAGTACATAGTCTGTTTTTCTTCTTAATTACCTTCCTTCCTAGCAAATTTTAATAATAAACTTCAATGGTCAGGTTACAGTAGTCTAAACATTCAAGCTTGAGGCTTTTATAAGTTACCTTACACTGATTTTTTTTTGCACTTACCACAACACTAATATTTGTTTTTCCTCACTAAAAGTGTGGCCTTTACAATCTTTTACACCCTAAATTCATCACTAAGTTTATCAATGTTGGAATCTATTTTCCACATATTAACCCACTCAGCAAGACCAAGTTTTTCTGCATTTAGGAAGCATTTCCAGTCAGCCTTACCCAGCATTTAGTATCACCAGCATATTTACTAAAATTTAGAAATCTTCTTATACAGTAGTTTGTACATAAAAAAAAAAACAATGATCCTGAGACAGACCATTTAGGGACCCTACATTTGCCCAATCAGAATGATGCCTGTTTATTACAGATCTTTGTTTTTTACCTTCATGCCAATTTTTAATGCCATTTAAGTTTTCCTAAATTTTGTGATGCTAAATTAACCTGTTGTGATGAATGTTAATGAATTATTTCTGTAAAATTAGGTACACAATATCAATAGATCTACATTCATACAGGCAGACAATAACTTCATAAAAAGCTGCAACAAATTAGTGAGAAAGAAAACCATTTTTTAGAGGCATTTGGAAAATTTTCAACCATATTTAATCAGTAAGGTGTATTTTGAAGTGATTTATGATAATGGATCACTATAGCTTAACAACAACAGAAGTTACACTAATTAACCAGTAACATCTAAATTCATCTGTTGACATTGACCTCTTTTTAATTATTAAAAATAATTTCTGTATCTAAATAAACTTCTGGTAGATTCAGTTAAAAACCCCACCAACTCGATACTTAGCCTTAGGATAAATCTAACCATGGAAAAGAGCTTTACTACCAGTAACAACTTACAACTTTTACATAAAATTATTTTCTTTAATAATAATATTCAAGAACAGATGTTTATCTCTAAAGATATCAGACAGTTTACTTGTCTCATTATTTACATCTTCACTAAAAAAAAATTGTTTTAACAATTGAGTCATATATTCTTCAACAGTTAAGTTCCCATTCCTAATCTCTTTAATGTACAATATTGTCATTGACTCTTTTTCCTGTTAAAATACCATAAACATCCTTTAAATGCGAATTAATGCTACTAGCTAATGTCCTTTCAAAATTGTTTTCAGCCTCCACTGTAGCTTTCTAAATTTGCTAATGTTTATTCTACTATATCTTGTATTTTACCAGTGATATTCATATTTTTGAAAATTAAACTTTTTTTTTGCTCATCCTTATAGGATTTGAGCTTGGGTTGAAGCATAAGAATTTATGAGGAATACAGTATTTCTCAGCACATTTAATAAATCTTACAATAACTCCTAAGCACCACTCATGCTTCAACAATCTCCCAATGAGTTTCTTAAATCAAACCAGTTACTTTTTGAAAGTCAGGCTTTCTAAAATTGGGGACATAACACTTATTTACTCTACACCTGATCTCAATAGACTTAATGACCTTTTGTTAGCTTGATCTTTCTGATGTTCTTCTATAGGGCTTTTATTAGAATGGTTGACAATGCAAGTGTCATTACATGTAGAGTTTGTAAATACAAAAGAACTATAAGTTCAAAATTCTATTTGTTCATCTTCATTATGGCTACCTTTATTATTAGCAAGTACCTTTTCATACTTTCTGCAATCAAAGTTATTGATGTGTCAAGTAAAGTACCTAAGAAAATTCACTGCCAAAACTAAATGCAGTTGTGACCATAACACATATTTTCATCTTCAAGCTGTGTATGTTGTGATCAGCAAGAATTATTTTTAAAACCACATGGGAGAGATAATTGTATTTGTACAGCTTGGTTCAGAAATAAAGTAATAACTTTTTTTCTATGTGTTTTATGTTTAAGAAGAAAGCCTTATTCTAATTAACTAGCTTTACTATTTAAAAATAGTAAAGTGGCTCATTTGTTATTATTGTTTTATTATTTTATTTCATCAGATAGCTTGTTTCTAAAAACATGGTTGATGTTCTGTTGACAAAAAAAATTGGCACACACTGCAATTGGGACCATGTGTGCATTATGAGATTGATAGTCAAATCCCACTACTCAACTGAAGTAGCCTTACAGTTGAAAGTTTAAAATCAGGGACATTTAGCATTCGTATAACTGAGAAAAAACATGTGATATCAAAGAAGAATGACCTAGAGCAAAAACAAATTAACTCACATTTGAGAATCAACTTGTTATTCTTAAATCAATGCACATGCCAAAAAGCCTCTGTGTGAAAAAGTTTGATTTTACTGGTGAACAAGAAAATTTTACCTGTCCAAACTAAAAAGGGAAAGAAACGTGCTTAGTATGCTTGCATACTACAAAGTGATTTGATAAGTTATTAACTTTAGTAATTCATTAAAATGTAGGATGAAAAAAATCTTCAATTTTTATAATTTACATATTTCAGTGTTTTGATGTCACTGCTGTTGTAGAGTGAAAGATTTGTCATATAAGCAGAATTTACTAGTTTATGTAGTTTTTATATGCTGTTCTGTTTGAAAGCTTAAATTCTAATACTTCTAGTATTCAATTAATTTTATAAATGTATTTCCAACTTTTATAATTCCACCACTCAAAAAAACCACCCACAGATAGTTTACCAAATACCTTACAATTTTAAAACTTCTGAAGAAAGTCATCCCTTCTTCTTATATATTCCAGAGAAAACAAGATCAAATCTTAACTGATCATATCTGAAATTACATATTGTTCAGCACTTACGTTATATCATATTTCTGATTACAAAAGGACCAAATTGCCTTTGTATTTTCAACAAGATATTATCTAGATTGCTATACAAAGTTTCAATAACCTTGATATTGTTAAGTTAACTACCTCAAAACTGTTTGTTGTTTCATCACAGCTAAACACCAAGCTGAAGATTTTAAGCTTTCATTGACAATCTCGCCTACTTCCTTCTGTTTTTCTCAGCACCACCACGACATATCTGACAAGTTACAAATTCTTTTCAAAGTACCATAATCCCTAGTCATTGCATTTTGTAACATTGAATCTCATTTTTCACATTGTGGCCATGTCAACAACATGATCCAATTCTTTCTAGGCTACCTTCCAAGAAATCTGTTCAGAAATGCATACATGCTAGTTTGACACTTAAAGAACAAAGGTAGTGGCATATAAAAGGATTAATGTGTGTTTACAACCTTGAGGCATCCAGTCAACACAGATGCGATTAACTACGTGCAGATACTTAATGAAAATGTATAAGAATATAACACGAATATACAAAAAATTATCATATACTCTGTGCTTGTTGTGGAAGGATGAAATTCATGACTTTTTAATCAATATGCATATATAAAGATTACAACTGATCGCAGTTCTTTTTTTATGCTGTAAAGAAAACTGGTAATACTCAGCATCTAACTGGTGTATACTGTTATGCACTCTATACCATCTTATACTTGTGATTGTATTATTTCAGTGACATTATCATTGACATCCATAACCAAGGTAAATGAAAATCCTGTTATAAAAAGACTAACTTCAGTACATTAACTAGAGTGCACTTTAGTGACTGGAAAGCTCATGCATTTAGTTAATGCTGATAGTTGTACTGCTAAAGATGAGAAGTTGACTATAAAGCATCAAGAATGTGATGCTAAATTGAAAAAACCAAGGACTTGTTTCTTTACTGCTGTGATTTTAATAGGCTCCATAAACCTTTGTCCGTGCATATTGTATTTTCTAAGAACTCCATTTGTGTATGCATAAGTCCAGCTTCAGTTTCAGAACAGATTTCTTCATGCACTAGTATATAAGTTTAAGACTCTTAGCAACAATTTGAAATGTGTTGATAAGGACAATAATGTATTCCATATATCTTAAACATCATTCTATATACACAGCATATAGCTCTAGTCCCATCAGCCACTCAAAAATAGACAAATGGCATAACATGAATCTCATACAAAACTCATTGTGAGTGCTAAAAGTATCCAGAAACCACATCCAGTAAGTTCAATTAATAGGTCCTTTACTGCATCCAAAAATTTGGACAGAGGAGTAGAAACACATCAAAATGGATTACTCCATTCATCCGAAATCATATGCATTCCTTTCTTTCCCTTTACATCGACAAATGGTTAAAAACAATAATTCTCAGGCAATTAGATACCTATGTTTCTATCAACTTCCACACTGTCTATAAGTCTAGTAGATTAGTTGTTTCATGGGATATGTATCTTTAGATTTGGTGTGGTAGTGAGTTAAGTTTGTTTTACTCTGGCGGCCACCTGATCCAAGAAATATAGTGGCATATTC